GTTCTGACACACTTGAGCCCATTGCTGCAGTCACTGTGTCATTGCATCTCATTGGGGCTCCTCCTCTCTTGTCACTGACGCTCCACCTTTCAAAGCATGAGGTCTTTTTCTGAGGAATAACCTCTCTCAGCAACGTGCACAAAGTATGAGAGACGATGCTGCATCGTGTTTGCCTCCAAGGAGCAAGAAGGTAGGGTAGCCTTTCCTAATTGGTGCAAAATACAGCTCCACAGGCTAGTGCATAGAGGTTCGGGCTAGTGCATAAGGATTCATTGCCAGCTCTTTCTATCCTTCATACCTTATGTGGCCTTCAGCAAGTCATTTCACATCCTTGAGCTCTGGGCTTCCTCATCGACTGAAGTCATCCTGTTTTGAGATTATGCAATTTAGGAGAGAGATGCTCAGTACCTGTCAATCAGGGATCATTCCCTGCCTTGGAGGGATGTTCTAGGGAACACAGAGATGATAAAGGTTCTCACAGCTCTGTGGAGAGTACAGGTTCTTACATAGTTAAAATAACAGGAAGGAGAGGGGTGATAAGTGTTTGAATCACAAGTAGGGAGGGACACACAGGGAGGCAAATAATCATTTTTAGAGAAATGATAGTGATGATTTTGTTGCTGTTAATGACTATCATTGTAATGGTAATGATGATAGAATAACAATATCCTGTGCTGATCAATGAGGGCTTCTATATGCCAGGCACCAGGCTAGGTCCTTCATCTGGGTCAACTCTAACCTTTCTAATGGTCCTGAGAGATGAAGGTCATCATTTCCATTTTACAGGTGTGGGTAGTTGACAGAAAGTACACAGGATATAATACCTGTAAGCTGGACATTGCAGGGAGTATAATACTTACAAGGTTGAGGTCAAGGAAGAGAGATTGTGAGTCAAAGGAGCTTAAGGAATGGGCATCATTGGGATACCAGATGGATGAGTAAAAGCAGAGGTTTACATATTTAAGAAAACTGGAGAATTTGAATTATTCAATTGATAAAAGAAAGTAGGGGTTGGGTAGTGGAGAAAAGGCTCAGAGCCTGTCCTGAGAGAACCCTGCAGATGGCCAGTTCCAGATCTTTCCCAGTAGAAGAAAATATGGGGTTGAGTTTGGGAGGAGATATCTCTTGTGCCTCGATAGTCTTTGAGTGCATGCTGGGCCTCTCTTTTAATCTTGCCAGTGTCCCTGTAAACTAATAGAATGAGAAGTGAAGCACTTTTCCCATGGACACAAATTTGTACAACTGTGAATTATACTGGAACATAAATGAATAGCCACACAGAATTTGGGCATTGTATTTTTTCCCCTTGCTTATAGTTAAGACTTATAAAGAGACTTGATCAATTTAAAATATAGATTTAGCCCTTCTTTTGCTAGTTGCAAAAGAGAAAAGGCTCATGAAACTGGGCAGACTCTTTGTTTTCTTTCTTTCTTTCACCATTAATTCTCTGGTCTCTAAGGGAATTTCTTATAATTTTGACCTCCTGTGCTAGGGAACTCTGATGGCCTATAGGTAAGGAGCTATTCTGTCAACCCAACGGCACATGATTCAGGTTCACCCTTGCTTCTTGGAAGAAAGATGAGCAGTCTCCTCTGTGCAATTTATAGCCGCTGAAAACCTGCTGGAGGGTCAGCTGTGAGTTGTTTTTGACTGGATGGCACAAAACAGTTCTAGTTTTGCTGTAGACTTAGAACAGAATAGCTGTTCACCTAAAGGATTAAGGAGAGGGAGGAAGAGCCACATGGACTTCTGCCCTCAAAATTTCTCCCCACTGCTAATGTATTTGGCAGACACCTGATTTAGCTATGCCCTGAGGAGAAGACTTCCACTAAAACTTGTAGACGCAGAGTTGTTTTCACCAGGTAAACCCCTCTCCCCAAGAGAGATGGGAAAGAGAAAGGGCAGTAGAACCAGAAGACTGAGAGGCTGACTGGATCCCTTTTGGAAATCAAAAGTTTCCCAAGGTATGCAGGGCGAGGGAAGAAGCACATACAAGCAAGGGAGCCGCTCCAACACCCTCCAACTCTGGGAGGGAATTCCTCTCCCTGACAAGATGGGCTTTTCCAATTACTACTGAATAAACATCAAATTAGCACAGCTCCCCTTTGCCCCTACCCACCAATCTCTTCCTCCAGGGAAGGTTTCACATTCTGAAGGGATGGGGCAGAGAGGTCATTTCTCCAGTGACATGTGTGTTCTCTGCTGAGAGAATGCTTAATGGAAATGGGCAAATCAATTAAAAAAAACAAGTACTGTGAAAGGGCTGGCCCAAGAAAGTTTCTGCTCTTCTGTTTTCATTCTCCTCCCACACATTGTTTCTCTTTTCACTGTGGTCCTGGAGAAGCTTGGAAAGAAGAATGAATTGTAGGAAGAGTTGGACACATCCAAGTTTACATTTGGCCTCGTCACTGATGGCGTGATCTCTGGACCTCGGTTCCTTCATCTGTATGTTGAAAAGAAATACAAGAAATAACTAAACATTGTTAGTCGTGGGTGCAAATGTTTAACATACTTGGCTGCTAAGGGAAAGGGTGAAGGTTTGAGTTCATTCAAGGCACCTCAGAAAAAATGATCTGATAATCTACTAATCAAAAAGCAATCTTGAAAACTCTAAGAAGCTGAAGTCTGCTCTGGCACGGTTATATCCATAAGCTAGGAACAGTTTGATAGTGTCTAGTCTTTTTTTTTATTATTATTATTATTCATTTTAATGAAAGTTTACAGAGACTTAGGGTTTCAAGTAATTCATTGTTGCACTTTTCTCCCTGTGGTGTATAGTCCTAAACACTGATCAAGGATTTTGCTATCTGCAAGTGGTTTTCTCAGCACTTTATGTGTATTATCTGGTGATTTTTAGTTTATTTCAACTCATAGTGACCCTATGTGACAGCATACAAGTGCTCCTGGAGAGCGGTTCTGGGAGACAGTGCATTGACAGGAAGTGGACTGGTCCAGAAGTGTTAAGAATGGTAGAGGTCAAGTGGTGATCAGGATCTCTTCCTGGAGAAGTTACAATAGATTAATTTGGATTTTTTTCGTCAGATGGACAGAATGGGAACAAAGTTCCTGAAGGAAGGACCAACATGAATAGAAGAAAGATGACCCATCATGCTGGGTAGATGAGTTATTTAGCACACTAGGGGAAGGGCAATGGGAGACATTAAGGGAGAGGAGGCTAAAAGAAAAGCTCGACCCTGCAGAGCATTCTGGAGAGTTTGAAGTTGCATATATCATACATAGTAAATCCCATAAGTTATTTCTAAAAAGAAGGAAAAGGGAGCTGTAATTAATGTGTGCTACTAGTCATACAGTGTGAACAGCACCACCATCCCACCCCCAGCCCCTTCCTTTCCATGTTATGTAAGAGACATAATATGAAAAGGGAAATGCCAGCAGCAAGCTGTGAGACCTTAGCAAGATCTGACGGTTCCATAAGCTCGTTTTATCCGGAAAATGAGGACCAATTAGTGGTTCAATGTGAGGTTCATTTCAACCTCATTACATGAGGTTGGCATGAGTTGGGGACCAAAGTGAAGACAGTGACAACAACCTCAGTGGTATTAAGAAGATTGTCATTGCTGTTGTTGCATGTTGTTAAGTCCATTCTGACTCATAGGAACTCCATAGAACAAAGTAGAGCTGTCTCATAGGGTTTTCTTGACTGTAATCTTTATGGGAACAGATCACCAAGTCTTTCTTTCTCCCATAAAACCATTAGGTAGACTTGAACTTTCAACCTTTTGGTTTGCAGCCAAATGCTTAAACCTTTGCAATACCTCAGAAAGGTTAGAAAAGATAATACATGTAAAGTCTTGAGTACAAAGACCCAACAAACATTAGATATAATTGTTTACATAAACTTCATCTCATCTACTGGATCAAGCTGCCTACTTGGTTGTTTATGTTTTCTCTTTTATTTATTGACTCATTTCCCTCCCTACTCCAGAATCATACATAGCTCCTCACATAGGTCCCTACCATACAATGGCAGTGCAGAATGTGAACTTCAAGGACAAGAAGGCAGCAAGTGCCTCCCTCTGTTTAGAAAATGAGTCAGAATAATAAACTTTGGCTGATGAAGAGCAGGAGTTATTCCGTCTTATGTAGAGTTTCTGTTCTGACTGGAGGGTCCTAACTGCACAAGGCAGAAGTTCATGTTCATTGAGCACCTAGGTTATGCTACAGTACTTACACAAACCATTTCTTACTTTCTCCAAACTACACTGGTTTCCTGTAGTTAAGAGTTTATGATCGTAGCACTGGGAAGGAATTCACTTTGCAGATATGTTAGTGTAGTATGGTAGCTACCTCAAATAACAATATCCCCTCTAGTCTGTTTCACAGATAAACGAAAAGAGGCTTACAGAGTGCAGCATCGTTGATGGAGGCAGCTCGATACCCAGTGAAAAGAGCATAGGCCTCCAAACTAGATATCAGTAACTTTGAGTCAGCTATGCAGGTTGGTTTGTTGTTATTGTTGTTGTTTAGCTAGCCGTTTTGTGAAACCTGTTTAATAGCACTGGATCATGCTAGTCCTCTTGAAAAATGTAGCACTAATACCTTCTTACAAGATTGATCTGGTGATGCTAAGCATTCTACTGGTGCAGCTCTTCTATTTGGCAAGTACATAGGCCAAAGTCTGTAGTGCATGAGGGAAAGACGGGGAAAACCAAGATGAAGATGCACATTTTTCTCTTCTTCCATCTGTGCACTTGATCTGTACCCTCATTTTTGTCCTCCAAAAATAAAGCAGATTCTTTAGGTGTACAGATCTGGTGGTAGATAAGGCTAGGTTCAGAACTTGATTCTTGGCAAGTCAAACTTGCAGGGACTTAATTAACTTAGATGTGAAATGGAATTATCCTAGATAGCTTGTAATAACACAGGGTGATGTTTCCTGCTTGTTACTGAGGATATCTTACTTTTTTGGGGGTACACCTGTTATCTGAACAGTAGATTTTTAGAAAGTAATAACAGATAAGACTCCTTTTCTATTTCAGAGCCTACTTGGATGTTAATGAACTGAAGAATATTCTTAGGTTGGATGGATCAACACACCTCAATATCTTCTTTGCAAATTCCTCTGAAGAAGAGTTGGCAGGAGTAGCCACTTGGCCGTGGGACAAGGAGGCCCTAATGCACTTAGGTAAGCCTTAGAGACATCTTCAGGGGCAAACTGCGGTGGTGCAGTATGAGTTTCATAGATGATAGTGATAGTGATAACGAAGGCACTCGTGGTAGTGGTAATGGTGAGCAACTGATTTATTTAATCATGTTATAGTTTACAAAGCTCCTTAACATTTATCTCAAGTTCCAGTTGGCTTTTTGTCTATTGAAATCTTTCTCTTTATACTCCTGCCTTCTGATTTTTAAAAATATCTTTTCAGTCTTGTAATCGTATTGTGCATGGCCAGTCTGAAAGGCACCAAGAAAAGGCACCAGAGAGGCAAGGGAAGTGACTGAATAAGAATTCTTTATTCTTCCATGTTCCACCCACCAACAACACCAGGGATGACTCTTATATTCAAATTATGCATATCTGTAAACAAGATGTATGCTTGTACAAAACAGAAAAAACTTGGAACCTACTCTTAGCTGACCCTCCAGCAGATTTTCAGAAGCTGTAAATAGCGTATGAAGAATTGCTTGTCTTTTCTCCAGTGGAAGAACTGGTATATTCGAACCACACACCTTTGGGTTGACAGCACAACTCCCCACCCACTAGGCTACTAGAGTTTCCTATGTTTATATAACCCAGTCACTAATAGAAATAGCGGTGGTTTCTGAATGAGACTCTGCCACCAAGCTGTGATGCATAGCGATTCTGTGTACACAGCTCTGAAGCTTGCCTGTCCTGAAACAGTTTCACTGATTCCGAAATACCTATCCCCATTGCCTTAGTTACTGTATCAATCTATCTCATCTAGGGTCTTCCTCTTCTGCTCTATCCTCCATCCTTCTGAGAATGATATCCTTGAAGGACCAGTATCTCCTGGTCATGTGCCCAAAATATATGAGGTGGAGCTTCAAATTCCTAGCCTCCAGGGAGAAACTAGATTATTACTAAGGATGACAGAAAAATCTATTCCTTCGATTTGTGGTGCTGGAGAAGAGTAGTGAACATACCAAACATTGTAGTTCTTGAATTTTTATTTTTTCAATTATCTCTTCCAGTAAAACCCTATATGTAAATGTATATTTTGGGAGGGATCTTGCATTTTTTTAAATTATAGCATAGATGCATTTTATGTTATTTTTCATTTAATATCATACTGTCTACACTTTTCCATATTGCTACAATCTTCACAATTACTTCCCATCTCATTTTTTTATTTATAACTATAGAAAACATACCTGTGGATTATTCCCATGTCTCCAAAGATGAGATTTTAAACATATTTTTTTATTATGGTTTTAACAAAGGTTTACAGAAAAGGTGAGTTTTATTCATTCATTCTTGCACATTTCCCTTCCTCCCCCCTAATCTCCCCTCCCCCAGCCCACTTTGCAATGCACCTTTTGTATCAGATCATTGTCACACATATAATAGTTGTCATCGTCGTTCTGTACCTTCAAGTCGCCTACGACGCATAGTGACCCTGTGTACAACAGCCCTAAATTATAATTCCTTTCAGGCAGTCCTTCACCTCATCTGTTCCAATGCAGTACTCATTATCTATCCTCTCTTTGCCTGTTCTCCTCTTCACCCCGTATGTCAATTCTATTATATAACATTGGTGTTATGCAGTATTTGTCCTTCAGTGATATTCTACTCAGCGTAAGGTCCTCCAGGCTCACCCATGCTGTGTAGTGTTTTACAATTGTTTTTCAATGCTGTGTAATATTCCATTGTGTGAATGTACTACTGTTTTACTATCCATTTGTTTATTGATGGGCACTTGGGTTGCTTCCATCTGTTTGCTTCTGTAAATAACACAGCTGTAAATATGGGTGTGCATACATCTGTTTTAGTCACAGCTCTGGTTTCTTTAGGATATGTACCCATGCAGAATTGAACCTGACTTATTTTTTTTCAGATGACACTCATTTTCCAGATTGGTTTTTGGTTTATTGGTTTTTTTTCAAATGAAACCAATTATGTATGTGTCTGCATGCAAATATGTTATTGTGCGATAGCCACCAAATCAAACACCCATTGCCATTTAGTCCAGCTCATACCAACCTGCCACCAGGTTTCCAAGGGTATAGGTCTTCTAGGAGGAGACTGCCATATTTCTTCGACTAAGAGACTGGCAGGTTTGAACTCCCGATCTTTTGCTGGACAGATGGACACATTGAGCAGTGTGCCACCAGGGATCATTGTTAGAGTAAACAGGGATATATATGAAGAGAAATTTGTAGTGGTTCTCAACTTGGGGGATTTTCCTCCCTAGGAGACAGTTGGCAATGTCTGGAGACATTTTCATTGCTACAAAAGGGAGCATACTACTGGCATCTAGTGGGTAGAAGCCAGAAGTTCCACAGTGCCCAGGACAGCCCCCTACAAAAAAAGGATTATCTAATCTAAAATGTTAAAAAATGCTCTCATTGAGAAATCATGGCATAGATTGTGGCTGGATAATGGATAGATAAGCAGAAGAGGCAATATAACTTATGCAAGCTTAAAGATGATTACCTTATACCACGTGTGTATTATGATGTGTGAGAATTACACAGGGCTAAGAGATCTGTTGTTCTTAGCTGTGACTTGATTTAGCAGGACGATCTCACAGCCAAATCTCTTTCTTTTCTGAAGTCTCAAGTGCCCCAGAGTTTAAATAAGCAAATTAGAATAGATGGCCTCCAAGGATTCTTCATAGTTCTGAAATTCTTCCTACTTCTGGAGGCATTTTTGGTTGTTACAACCAGGGAAATGCTACTGGTGTCTAGTGGGTAGAAGCCAGAAATTCTTCAGTGCACAGAACAGCCTCTGTGCATGGGGGAAAAACAAAGGAGAGCGCCATCTTCAGAGTTTTAGAAGGGTTGAACAACAAGCTTTTCAACTCACAGAAAAATACTCTGGTAATTCCATGAATTTCAGAGACTGGCACAGAACCAGGAATATGGAAAGCTATAAATCCATATCATGTTATAGTATTTCAGAATGATGTCAGTCACATATTATTTCACCTTATTTAAGAGAAGCAATGAAATAGTATTTGGGCCCAGTGCTGTAGTTCTGTGGGAAGTGGTGAGTGGGGAGGTGATGAGGTAAAGTGAACAAGGCCAGCGTGGAGATTAAATCTGTAATCCTACCATAATTTCTGGAAATACCTGTGGGGTCCCACACTCTTATTACCTCAGAGTGAAAGCTTTAATGAGAGCCAAAGAATCATCAGTGCTATCATTGATGCTTATTTTGGAGCCTACGAGAGGTTTGGAAATACTTTCAAGTACTTTAATTTTGATTCTTCCTAACCTTTTGGAGTACCTAGGACAGAGTTTCCTAATATTTCAGGGTATCTTTATTTGAAGGGTGAGAAAACTGATACCAGAGTGACTTACTCAAGGTCTAAAACTAGTATTTAGTTGGTATCAAACCTATATAGTCAGAAGGTTATTCGCTTCAGAGCCTTGGCAATATCAACTTTACGTAAAGAAATGGAAATACAAAGAGTTGAGGTGACTTTCTCATATACTTTGGGCATGTTATCAAGAGAAGCTTTAGGCCTTTTGTTCATAGGTCACTATGAGTCATGATTGACTTGAAGGCAATCAGCAACAACAAAGTAATAATCAATCTCAATCTTTGTTTCTTATCTATCCAGTAAAAATCAACCTGTTGAATGAATGAATAAAGCCTTCTCTCCTTGCCACTCAAGACAAGTTAAATCTTTCACTTGAATTGACCTGGCTTGATATTGCCAATATACAGTGAGACAGCCTTCAAGCTTTCCCTTGAATGTGTATTGATTAGAAGTACTTCAGATAAAAACTGTGCTTGAGATAGAGGAAATGACCTCATTCTCTAGAAATACTTAGCTTCCTTTTGGTCTGTTTTGATTCCACTAGAACAAAGTTAAGTCTGCTGTGTAATATTTAATATCCTAACAATCTAGCTATTATAGTAGCTATTCTGTGCATATATGCTGAGCTGAATTTCTGACATTCTACAGTAGAAAGATCCCAAATTTGGGGATCACACTATCCTACACTTCAATCCAGTTCTGTGAACGTACTAGTTAGGTATCCTTGGAAGAGCCATTTCAGCTTTTAGTCTTCATGCTCTGTATCGGCTAAAGTATTAGATAATTGCTAAATGGAAACATTTGCGGTTCAAACCTACCTACCAGCTCCTTTTTGGGAGAAAGACCTAGCAATCTGTGTCCATAAAAACTTAGAGCTTTGGGGATACAGCTTTAGCGGGACAGCAACACTCAGTCCTCCAGAGTCCTGTAAGTCAGAATCTAATGGACAGTGATGGGTTGAGCTTGGATTTGTGGCTGTATCAGGACAAGGAGGGTAATAATACCCATTAAAAACAGACTAAAAACGGCTTGAGCTTTTATTGAGCTCCTCCTTTCCACCCACTCCACTTTGAATAGCAGCCTAACTCAGGTTCTGGGGTCCATGGGTGCATCACTTCTTACTTTATTTTTTCTTTAAATGGGAAACTCTACCTTCCTATTCAGTCAATTTCAGCCCAGGAGATACATGGATTCTCTGATCATTGTTTCCCTAAAACCTTAGTAACTACCTTCAAAGGGCAGATTTCCAACATTTTTTTTTACTGGGCAGTGTCAAGTCAGTTCTTGTTGTTAATAGTTGTTATTCAGTTGATACTGACTTAGCGCAGCCCCATGTGTTACACAGTAAAATCCTCCACGGAGGCTTCTTGGCTATGTTCATTGCAGAAGCACTTGCCAAGCCTTTCTTTCATTTTATCATTGGATGTAAATAAATTTCATATCTTAACATTTCCAATTCTCCTCCTTATCTTAGTGCGTGCATTATTTTTATCATGCTCCTTTTCTCTCTCTTGCCCACAAAAGAACATATAAGTAATAATTTCAAAGTAAAATAAGCATTACACTATAGTCCATATCCTAGGATATGAATTATCGTGCAACACCAGAGCTCAGTGTTGAAAAGCATGGCTGCCCTAATAATGTTAACTGGCAGAGGGCTCTATGGAAACTAGTTCTGTGCAGCTGCTCTGTGCCAGCCACATTTCTGTGTACTGAGTCCTTAGAAAAGTTCAAGATAATAAAAGCTTTTAACAACTCCATGATATAGCTGAGGACACGGAGGCTCAGAGATGCAAAGTCAGTTTTCTAAGAGCACACGGCTAGTGGGAAGCAGAACCAGGGTTTCCGTCAGATCAGACTGACTCCAGCTGGGCTCCAGGCTGACACCTCTCCACCTTGAGGGATGTTGATCCTCTGCAGTAGCACCAGTCAAGCCCACTTTAGTGGAACCCCATTTTTTTATCCCCTTTCCCTGCTATCAGACCATGATCTCTTAGATTTTTCCAGGGGTGAGAAGAGGGTAATGTTTCCTTTTATGATTGGCAGAGGATAATTGAGAGAGATTTCCTGTCTCAAATTCTCTTCCTCCCTGCCTCTGCCTGCCCCGCTCTCATTCTAACACCCATTTTCACTCTCTGTACTTCTTTATTTTTGTGCTAGAAAACTTGAAGTCGTTTTGAATTAATAGACTTTGTGAACTCTAGGACTGAGCACACTCCTCACTGTCTTAGCAGGTCGGAGATAAACCTCCTCAACTCATACTCCAGCATGGTCAGTTTAAATCATCAAGGCCTCGCTAACCTGGCATTCTTCTACAAAGTGCTTCTCTGTGCTTAAAATCACTGCTTGCAAGGCTGTTCATACAAAGTTGATTATGTATGCTGCAGCCTGGCTTGCTGAAGGCAAGAAGGACTTGAAGCACTTCTTGCAGAAGATCAAACACTGCAGCCTTCTTCAAAATGGATTGGATTTCAATGTCAGGAAAACAAAAATTCTTATCACTGGACCAATAGGCAGCATCATGGTGGACGGAGAAAAGATTGAAACTTTCAGCAACTTCATCTCACTTGGATCCACCATCAGCACACTTGGTACCAGCAGTCAGGAGATCAGAAGACATTTTACATTGAGAAAGTCTGCCATCAGGGACCTCGCCAAATTATCAAGGAACAATGAATGATGTCACTTTTAGGACTAAAGTGCTCCTGATTCAGGCCATGGTCTTTTCACTCACTTGCTGTGCTGCTGACAGCTGGATAATGCATAAGGGTGACAAAAGAATTGATGCCTTTGAACTATTTTGTTGGAGAAGAAGACTGAATATCCCATAAGCTGCCAAAACAAACAAACAAATATGCCTTGGAGAAGTTGCAGCCAGACTGCTTCTTGGAGGCAAAGATGATAAAGCTTCATCTTCCATACTTTGAACATGTTACTAGGAGAGGCTAGTCCTTGGAGAGGGACATCATGTTTGGAAAGGTGGAGAGATAGCAAAAGAGTGGAAGACCCCAACCAGGTGGATTGATATAGTGATTGCAGCGATGGGCTCGGGTGTGTCAGATATTGTGAGGGTGGCACAGGATAAGACAGAGCTCAGATCTGTTGTTCATAGGGTCACTATGAGCCATACTAGACTTGTCAGCACCTAACAAAAACAACAATTATATATGAGTTTTAAAGATTAAGACATACTCTATTTGCTAGCTTTTCTTTCATCTCTTCATTGCCTAAAACAGAGAACAAATACTATTCATTGAGATGTTTTCTTCTGTATTATCTAAGCCATGAACAGTCTTCAAGGACCTGTGGTGTACAACACTGCTTCCTACACTGCAGTGTGAGGATGGACATTATTAAAATACAGATTCTGAATCTGTGGATCTGGAATGAGGCCTGATATTCTGCATTTAGGAACCACACTTGAAGTAGCAGGCGTTAGGTCTTTGCACTGGATGTAAGGCCAAGGACTCAAGGAAGGGACCAGAGAACAAGGAAGCAAACTTAAAGCAGCTTTATTAAGGGAGCTCCTGGGCGAGGTTCCTTGGTCTCAAAAATAGAGAACAAGGAAGTCACGCTTAGGGCTTCCTTGAGAAGGTTTTTATAATAGGGTCTTCAGGGAGGAAAGAGAGGGACAGCCCATTGTGGTTTATGGTTCAGCCAGGTGGGCGAGGCCATTCACTCCTTTTGTTGCTGTGTCTTATTCTTTGAATTCATTATTCTCCCCCTTGGTCCGGGACTAACAGCAAGTGGTTATACAGTTAGTAAAGCTCTTTGTAGGTGTAAAGTCTGTCAGGTGCTTAGTTACATGTGACTTGTGTGGTGTTGTTGTTGTTGTGCTCTGTCAAGTTGGAAGTGACCCATAACTGACCCTCCGGTGGGCTTTCAGGGGCAGTTAATTGCACAGGAGGAGATTACTCATCCTTCTCCTGAGGAACTGCTTGCAGATTCAAATAGCGAGCATTTGGGGTTGCAGAGCAGCTTGTTCCCACTCAGCCAAGAGAGCTCCCTGTGATTAGACACCAGAAAACCTCACTAGATGAATCAGCATTGAGCAAACATTCAATATGCTTAATAAGATGCATATTGGAGACCCTGTGATAGGCATTGTAGCTGTGTAGTACAAATTGCTCCGTACACAGCAGCTAACTGAAAAGTTGATGCTTTAACTCACCCCAGTATTTTCTCAGAAGAAAGGACTAAGGATCTACCCCCCCCCAAAAAAAACACACTAATTAAAAACCTAGTGGAGTAACGTTCTCTTCTATCATAAATGGTTTCATCCTGAGATCCCTGGCTCAATGTCCACTGGTCTTCTAGTTGTATGTGTGTGTTCATCTGTGTTTGTATTTACGTGTGTGTGTGTGATTCATAGTAAAATTTGGGCTGATAATCTTAGCTTTAGAATCAAGGATCTTGGATTCCCATTCAAACTCTACACTTACTTTCTGATTGTGGGCCATTACTTCACCCTGCTGAGAACCAGAGCTTCCCATTACATTGTGAGATTGATAAGATTATGTGCATGAGATACTTAGAACCTGGCCAACATATGTGGCCACTATTTTCAGTGTTAAAATAGTGAACACAATATGGTGCTTGCCTTTTTAGGGATTCCCTGTCATAGATTATCAGCTGTTATTTCATATTTGAAGAATATAATTTAGAGATGGTAGTTGACTTGTCTGGTGTCTAATATGTCTAAATGTCTAATATGTCTAACATGTCTAATACAAGAGTGTACTGAATATCAGTGAAATAGGATATGTCTTCTTTTCTGAAACAGGAATTTGAATAGAAAAGCTTACCATCTCAGTAGTGAAAGTTTCTGAGTTCTAATCATATATCTCCTTGTAAGAAGTTTGAGTCATCTTGAATAAGTCACCTTAGCTTGAAAAGCGTCCATTTTTGCCTGACAAGTGAAAGGATTGTTGAGACTCCTGATTCACATCACAAGTCACAGTAGCAATGGAATGATAATGTGAAAAGTCACAAGGTGATTGTTTAGGGAAGCACCCCTTAAAATGAATGCTTAATTGATTTAGGAATTCTTGCACCAGGAAGCAGGGTATTCAACTTGTCATATCTTTTGATTTTCCCCTTGCAGGTGGCATTGTCTTGAACCCATCTTTCTATGGCATTCCTGGGCACACCCACACCATGATCCACGAGATCGGACACAGTCTGGGCCTTTACCACATCTTCCGAGGCATCTCAGAAATTCAGTCCTGCAGTGACCCCTGCATGGAGACAGAGCCCTCCTTTGAGACCGGAGACCTCTGTCGTGACACTAACCCAGCTCCGAAACACAAGTTCTGCGGGGACCCTGGGCCAGGGAATGACACCTGTGGATTTCATAGCTTCTTCAACACTCCTTACAACAACTTCATGAGCTATGCAGGTAAGGCTTCATTCTGCAGAATTTTTGCTGTTGAGTGATGGTAGGCAGATGGCTCAGGATGACATTATAAAGTGGAAGGGCTGGGTGTCAGCTATAAGCCCCAGTTCTGGTTCTGGGATCTAGTGCAAAAACAGATCTGAGCTAGTTGCTTGACTTCTTAAGATGTAGATTTTTCCATTCCAAACAATTAGGGTAATGTTCCTTCCATGAACCCCTAAGACATTAAAAAAAGATTTGCATATGGTAATTCTTCAGAAAGGCACAGTTTAAGAAGTTGGAAGCTGATTTGAACCAAAAGTCAAGAAACTCAGTTGAAAGACCTAGCTCCGCCTCTTTGTCATGTAATATGTTTAGATCTATCACCTGATATATTTAGTCTGACTTTTCTCAAGAAATTCTGTGGAATTTATTGCCAACATTCCTTCTAATTTCTCTCTCTCTCTCTCTGTGTGTGTGTAAAACTTTTTTATATATAAAAAATATTAACTTTTTTAGTTGGTAGTTGATGACTTTTCTGTTAACCCAAATAATCCTTGGATAATTATAAAAGTCTCATACCTTCTTTTGATTTTGCAGATACACAATTAGTAAGTGAAATATCATATGCATTCCATAACTACCTATATCATTTCAGAGCCATTTTATACCATCAGTGACTATGTCAAGGCTCATGTATGGGTTTCAAGGATGCCCTGTGCTTCCCTTTAACGTGTTATACGTCAATATTTCTTCTAGACTTTATAGATAACACTTCTGAAAATTAGAAAAAAAAAGACCCTTTTATTCTGGGTAGTCACGGTTCTCATGACTAATCTCTTCATCCAAGCATCAGTGTATCCTTGTAGACCACATCTTCACCATTATATATGGTAGCCCAGCATCAAATTCTAATACAATATCTAATTTAGCTGTCTCTTTCTCCCACTAGGAAAACGAATTCTATAAAGACAGATTGCACTTTGGTTAGACATTCCTAGCCCCTTGCAGGGCCTCATATCTTTTTAGAGAAGAAGAGAGAAAGGAAAAAAAAAATAAGTTTTACTACAATTCATGTCAAATAATTTCTTATCAACTTGTACATAACAATTTATTTTTCATAAGCACTTTGCTTCTTGCCATTTCATATAATTCTCAAAAAAGCTTATAGGGTAAGAATTATTCCCATTTCACATAAACTGAATCTCAAGTCATATATCTAATAAAGGGCCCACTGAACTGAAACTTAAGGTCCGTGACTCTAAGTAATCTTATCCCTTCTACTTTTGTGTCACCCTTGATAATACGCCTGATTGATAGTTGAGTGAACAATAGTGTAACCTCAGTGATTTTCAAACCATGGTCCACAGAAATACCTTATGGTTGGCTGTGTGATTTTGGCCCTTGGGCCCCTAACCCTGAGTGAATCAGGAAGTCTCCTTTCAACTGCCCAACATTTTTGTTCCATTTTTTACTGCAGATGTCATTTGTAGAGAGGATTTCACTCCCAAAACCCAGGGGACCCGATGATTGCTAATGGGCCTTCTTGCCTTCTCATTTGGGCTGGTGACTTCTGAGGGCCTCTGTAGTCTAAGAGACAAACAGTCCAAACCTGTAGTCTCTGGAAGAGCCTATACCCTACCATCTCTGGCACCACAAAGAGGTGTTAAGTTTAGATCTAAAAAAAAACAAAACCCAAAAACAAACCCAATAGCCCAATAGACAACAAAAAAAAAGCAAAACAGGGTTCTGGGTATTTCTTCAAAAGCATATTCCCACTGGGCTTCCATTTCCCAGCCAGCAGACATCTCCCATCCGGTGCCCCGGCCTCTCTCGCACAGCGTGCTTACATTCCATTTCCGTAGCACCTTTCCTTGGCCAGCTCAACACACATGGAAAATAAACAATAACATGAGTTTGGAAGTTTGCCGGCCTCTTAGCAGCCTAGGAGCTGCCACTAGCTACTAGACCCCCATAAATGGAATCTTTTTTTTTTGTTCCACTTTGTGCAGATCTAAAGGGTGATTGATTTACTGTTGTTTTTTTAAAGGAACCCCTCAGCTCAGTGACCCATTAACAGCAGAACTAATTCACTGAGCTACGATAACAAACTTACACCCGCAAAAGCATATTCAAGGCAACCACGAGCTTTGAAATGTTTGTTTTCCTTAGGATCTCTGATAGATGAGGTGACAAAAGCAGCTGGATGAAATTCAAAATGCAGAACAGGATCAGGTTCTCAGGCTGTGAAGGGAGGGATACAGAGGGGCTCCCGCAGTCAAGGTGAGAGGGTAGGGACAACACCCTCGACCTTCCTCCAGTCCTTTCTCCTTCAGGGGTGCTTTCTTTCTAGTTGGACTGGTCATTAGTCAAGAATAGCACAGCTTGGTCCAATAGAACTTCCTGCAACAGTGGGCATATTCTGTACCTGCATGGATCAGTGTGGTGGTCACCTGTCACATGCAGCAATTGAGGTCTTCAAATATGGCTATTGCAACTGAATTTTAGGTTTCAAAGAATTTTAATTCACTTATGTTTAAGTAGCCCGAATGGCATGGTGGCTACCATATTGGACAGCAAAAATATATAATCTTTATCAAGAGCCTGTAATATCCTCACATTTATCTCACTGGATTAGCAAAATAACCTGGTGGATCAAACCTGAATGCCAAATAACTTGCCTTCAAGTTGATCCTAACTTCTGGTGATCTCAGGTGTGTCTGAGTAGAATTGTGTTCTCTAACGTTTTCGAGGACTGATTTGTTTCAAAAGTAAGTACCTATGTCTTTCATAGAACCTCTGAGTAGCTTCAAATGAGCTCCCTGTGTTTTATGATCCAGCAAATCCAACCCAGTGATTGACTGCTACTATTATCACATACATTTGATAGATGCAAGAAAGAAGACTTAGCGGAAATAATTTGTCTAGGATTTCTGAGATCTGATGAAGATGAGATGCAAACCCAAGATTTTCTTCTTTCAGATAACCTATAATTATCTGCCCATGTACTGAGACCAAGCAGAAGTGATCCAGGTCATCGCCTGGGAGCAAGGTTAGGCTAACAGGCCAGGCAGACTACCAGCAGAGTGTCGTCGGGCTCATCTGTTGTCTATAAACTTTCTTTGCCAGTTAGAAGGGCACGAGCCCTGACTCTATTTCTTGGAGATCATAGGACAAAGGAGTCTGGGCAAGAGGACTTCTCAGTCAGGCACTTCTTTAGCTCATGAAAGCATATTTCGTTAATATCTTTCTATGAATTGCAACTTTTTCATATATACATTTACTTTGATGCATCAATTCCGCCTCCAAAGAATATGTCTTAAGGGGATTACCCAGTTGAAGTGTTTAAAGACTTAGCTTTAAGAATGTTCATAGCCATATTCACTCTCCAAATATCTTTTATGTATTTACTGTGTGCCAGGCATAGAGGAGAAATGCTTACATATATGAAAAATTAGAAAGTGCTTACATGCCTAATAGTAATGGATTGCTGAAATAAATCATGGAGCATCGGTGTGATAAAATACTACGTATCCAATAAAGATGAGGAGAAGCCAAGCAATAGAGTGATTCAGAGCATTTCCTTTGGAGTGAAAGGATCAAATACAAATCTACCATGTCTAGGTTTTTCTTTTTTACCCTAGACAAGTTACTTAGTTAATACCATGGAGGAAAATCATACTTAGATTGTGTATTAATAGGTATAATCATAGCGGCAAACCTCTTATCATTGGCCTTGGTACTTGGTACAATTCAGAGCTGAACAAAATGTTAACAAGTAGAATTGTTTGTTAATTATTTAATATAAAAGGAAAAAAGCCATAAATTCTGGTACATGGAATAAGACCTGTATGTTGTTATTGTTAAGTGCTGTCGAGTCACAGGCATCTCATAGCGACCCTATGAATGAACGGCCTGAACACTGTTCGTACATAGAGTTTCCGAAGGCAAGCCATTTTGAAAGTGGATGCCACTCCTGCTTCCAGAAGACCTGTATAGATACAGGAAATATGTGTGTGTGTGTGTGTGTGTGTGTGTGTGTGTGTGTGTGTGTGTGTGTGTGTAATGAGTTATAGAAATCTACTGTGCATATTAGAGAGTCACCAACCACTTTTGGCTTGGTAGCATCACTTTCTTCCCACTAGGCCACCTGACCTCTCTTTATGCTCGTGGTGGTGTTGTTAGGTGCTTGTCTTTAATTGTTTTTGGTGAAACATTCTTCTAGGTCGTATAACCCTGGTGTGTCCACTTGCTGTACAGAGGTAACTTATGGTTGCTGTGAAGTTGAAGACTGTGACACTGATGTGTCAAATGCCAGAATGGTTATCCATGGTGGACAGTGTTTGATAGAGCTCCCCACTTAAAATAAGCTTGGAAGCAGGAGTGGCATCTACTTCCAAAATAGCTTGCCTCTGAAAACCCTATGAACTTGGAGAAAGGACAAAAGTTATACAAGTATCCAGGTCTTTCTCTCATAGCATTGCTCTGTGTTGCCTACGACTCGACGGTACTTAACAACAACTCTGTGTGTGTGTGTGTGTATGTGTGTGTGTAATATAATTATATTATTTTTAGGTAATGTGTTTAGGGTGACATTTTTATTTCTTTGTGATTATTATTGGCATACTCTGAATGTTCTGTAATGACTGTCAGTAACTCTCATGACCATTTATCACCATCATTTTGAACACAATGAGAAGAAGAGGACTTGTAGGAAGGGAAGCTAATTTATCCACGTACTACACTTGGGCTAGCTTGCTTAAGATGTTTTCCTAATCCTTGTGAGGTAGGCAACTACAGCATCATTATTTCCTATCTTAGAATATATTAAAATGTGGCTCACAAGAGTAAACATTTTGCCACTATCCTTCAGGGAGTTGAGGTACCAGATCTACCCCTTGGCCCATGCTCAGATGGAAGTTTATTCTTAAGAACAAGGCGTAGTGAAGCCAGGACACTTCATCAACACCATGGGGACCTAAGCAGGCTCCTGGAGTGCTAAAGTCCATTCTGATTAGAAACAG